CAAAGGCTGGGGAGGCTGAGACAGGAGGATGGCAAGTTCAAAGCCACCCTCAGCAACTTTGTGAGATCCTAAGCAACCTAGTGAGATCCTGTCTGAAAATAAAAAATATAAAGGGCTAGGGATATAACTCAGTGGTTAAACAACCTTGCGTTCGATCCCTGTTAATAAAAAAAAAAAGGTCAGTGGGGGGCACCCTGCAAGAAGGTAGGATCTTTATTCTCACCAAGAGCCCTTCAGAGTAGCTACAGGTTCTGGATATAACCCCACTATTGTCCATGGCTTTACAGTCCATGGACCATGAAGCCTAGGGTAGCCTAGGCCAGGGGAGGTGGATGCTGTCCACCACATAGTGTTTCCTTCTCCCTAATTGTGTATGCGGCCTCCCTCCACACCCCATTCCTTTTGGCTCTGCTTTCTCTTATGCCTTCATCTTCCAGGGTCCTCTGTGTGTGTGTGTGTGTGTGTGTGCGCACACGCACCACTGAACCACACCCTGGCCCCTTTTTATTTTTAATTTTTTTTTTTTTTAAAGAGAGTGAGAGAGGAGAGAGAGAGAAGAGAGACAGAGAGAATTTTTAATATTTATTTTTCAATTCTCGGCGGACACAACATCTTTGTTGGTATGTGGTGCTGAGGATCGAACCCGGGTTGCACGCATACCAGGCGAGCGCACTACTGCTTGAGCCACATCCCCAGCCCCTTTTTATTTTTAATTTTGAGACAGGGTCTCACTGAGTTTCTTAGGGTGCTGAGTTGCTCAGGCTAGCTGTGAACTTGCAATCCTTCTGCCTCAGCCTTCTGAGCTGCTGGAAACAGGTATGCACCACCACACCCAGCTTTTCCAGAGTCTTTACATGAGGAAATAGAGTAGGCTGAACATGCAGCCATCACCACATTTTTTTGTTTTTTGTTTTTTTTTTAAACTGGAGGTATTGAATCTAGGGATACTCTACCACCACTGAATTACAACTTATGGTCTAGCTAAGTTTCTGGTACTGGTCTCAAATTTAGAATCTTCGGCCTCCCAAATCTTACTGCAATTACAGGCACGCACTACGAGGCATAGCAGCCCCCTCAACCTTAAACTTAGTCTAAGTGATTTTGTTAATGATCCCTCCATCCTCTTCCCTACCCAGTCAAGCTCACTGGAAAACAAATCCTAAAGTAAGTTGCCATTTCTCAAAGAGAAAAAGGGTACTGTGCATCACTGTAGTAATCTACTTGGGCTGCTATATAACAGAGTAGCATAAACTGGGTGGTCTATAAACAAGAGAAGTTTCTTTCTCCTTCTGCTAGAGGCTGGGAAATCCCAAGATCAAGGCACTGGCAGGTTCCATGTCTGGTGAGGGTTTGCTTCCTTGTTCTAGACCATCTTTTCACTGTGACTTCACAGGAAGGGGCCAGGGAACTTTCTGAAGACCTCTTTTATATGAATACTGATCCCATTTCGAAGACTCTACCCTCATAACCTACGAACTCTGCCTCTAATGCTATCACCTTGAGAGTTAGGTTTCATCAAAGGAATTTGGGAGACATAAACACTCAATATGTTACTGCTTTAAGTCCTGGCATATTGGAGACAGCAGGTGTGTTTGCATTATTCAGAGGATAAAGGTCTAGATTTTTCTGTGGGGTGGGGCTGGGTATTGGGTATTGAATTCTACCACAGAGCTGCATCCCCAGCCCTTTTTATTTTGAGACAGGATCTTGCTAAGTTGACTAGACTGGGGGCTGGGATGTGGCTCAAGCGGTACTGCGCTTGCCTGTCATGCATGCGGCCCGTGTTCGATCCTTAGCACCACATACAAACAAAGATGTGTGTCCGCCGAAAACTAAAAAATAAATATTAAAAATTTTAAACTAAGTTGTCTAGACTGGTCTTGAACTTGGAATCCTCCTCTCTCAGCCTCCTGAGTAGCTGGGATTACAAACAATGTACCACTATGCCTGGCCAGATTTGCTTT